GCATTTCTTATCTCCATTCCAGGGAGTAAAGATTATGTAGCTTAAGCATGATTGTTCGTAGTTAAAGTGATTAATTACCCACCTGGCAGTTAAGAGGTTTTATTCCCTCCCTAACTTCAGGGGAAAATCCCTACCTGGGGAAACAACCTTTCTCGGAGAGGTGACCTCGGACCGGCTCCCGGCAATACTTGGTCCATCCATGTTGTTGCAAGTGATAAGATTTCATTCCTTTTTATGGCTGAATAATATTCTGTTGATTATGTATCACCACTTCTTTATCCACTTGTCTATTGATGAGCACTTGGGTTGACTCCATAGCTTGGCTAATATAAATACGGTGCATATGTTCTTTCAAATTAGTGTTTTGGATGTCTTTGGATATATGCCCAGAAGTGGAGTCACTGGGTCATAAGACAGCTTCATTTTAATTTTTGGAGGCTTTTCCATACTGTTTCCCACTGTGGCTGCACCAGTCTGCATTCCCACTAATACACAAGGGTTCCCTTTTCACCACACCCTTGCCAGCACGTGTTTGTAATTTCCTGGTTTTTTAAAGTCACGTTTCTCACTCTGTAGTCTTTTCTACCTCCCGTTTTTTAAAATTAAAGTATAATTGACATATAATATTAGTTTCAGATGTTCAATATGATTCAGTATTTAGATAGATTGTGAAATGATCACCACAATAAGTCTAGTTTACATCTGTCACCATAGTTACAATTTTTTTGTGTGATGAAAACTTTTTTAAGATTCACTCTCTTAGCAACTTTTAAATATGCTATGGAGTTTTATTTGGAAAAGGCAAAACTACGGAGACAGTAGAAAGATCAGTGGTGTCCAGGCGTTAGGGGATAAGGAGGGATTAATAGGCTGAACAGAGGATTTTCAGGGCAGTGAAACTATTCTAATGGCTACATTTGTTAAAACTCATAGGATATACAATAGTAAATGTGAACCCTAATATAATTATGGACTTTGGGTAATAATGATGTATCAATAGAGGATCATCAATTGTAACAAATGTACTATTCTGGAGCCAGATGTTGATAGTGAGTGAGGCGATGTATGGGTGGCGGCAGGAGGTATGTGGGAATCTCTATACCTCAATTTTTTTGTGAACCTAAAACTGCTCTAAAAATAAAGTCTGCTAAAAAAGGGCAGTTCTTGGTTGGCTTAAATTCATAATCTTCATTACTTTTGATAATCAGCATTCTAATTTTAGGTTTATTGGTTAAGTACAGTGTTTTGCACTGAATATTCATCTTCTTTGCCCATTTTTATAATGGAACTTTCTCTTTTATAGATTTGCTAGATCTCTTAATGAATCTATTAGCAATTTTAGTCCATTATTTTTTTAAAATATATTTTATTGATTTTTTACAGAGAGGAAGGGAGAGGGATAGAGAGTTAGAAACATCAATGAGAGAGAAACATCGATCAGCTGCCTCCTGCACATCTCCTACTGGGGATGTGCCTGCAACCAAGGTACATGCCCTTCACCGGAATCGAACCTGGGACCCTTCAGTCCGCAGGCCGACGCTCTATCCACTGAGCCAAACCGGTTTCGGCAAGTCCATTATTGGAGGAAGGGAGAAATGGTGTTTTCAGGTGCACTGCTTTATACGAACACTTAACTATCTTTTATGCAAACATTTAAGGTACAGTTCTATATACTGTAGGCTTTATACAGTGAACCACCCAAGAAATCAGCTCCTTTTTTGAAGAAAGATGGAATAAACCTTTTCTATCTTGCTTCAAAGCATTAGGCTGAGAGCCACAAATGAGCAAACAAGACAAACTTACAGACACAGACAACAGTATGGTTACCAGAGGGAAAGGGGGTGGGGAAGAGGTAGTAAAAGGCAAAGGGGGTCAAATATATGGTGATGGAAGATTTGATTGTGGGTGGTATGCACAATGCAACACACAGATGATATAATATAGAACTACATACTTAAAAACCTATATAATTTCATTAACCAATGTCAACCCAACAAATTTAATTAAAAATTTAAAAAAGGCATTAGGGGCCTACTTAGTTATAGAGAGATGGATAAGCATAGACAATACAAGGTAGAAGACAGGTCATAAGATGTGATTGGCCTTACCTCATTAGTTACCCTGGTATGTGCATGTTTGCATTAGACTTGTCTTTTATTTATTAATAAACTGTTTTTATATTAAGAAAATCAATCTATTATAGGGTACCATAGACCAAATGTTTCTGTCTCCCCCCATTCCTGTGTTGAAACCTAATTTCCCATGTGATGGTATTTGGAGGTGGGGTCTTTAGAGGTGATTAGGTGACAAGGATGGAGCCCTCATGAATGGGATTAGTGACCTTATTTGAGACTCCAGATAGCTCCCTTGCCTTTTCTGCCATCTTGGGTTATAGCTAAAAGACAGCCATTTATGAACCAGGAAGTAGGTCTTCACCAGACACTGAACCTGTCAGCACCTTGATCTTAGACTTCCCAGACTGCACAACTGTGAGAAATAAATTTTTCTTGTTTACAAGTTTAGTCTATGATATTCTGTTACAGCAGCCCAAATAGACTAAGACAATGGGACTAAACTATTTGTCTTGTTTATCTCTAGTTTGACTTTTTTATTGTATTTCTTTAGATATTTTTGCTAAAGCAGAATTGTCAAATTTATCATTCTCTTATTTTACGTCTTTGGGGTTAGTATCATACTTAGGTCTGTGTTACTCTTAGACTATAAATACAAAATATTTTATAACATCACCATGCAATCCTTCATTGGACTGCTTTCATAGTGCTCATTCACACAAAGCCTTAATGCTACCATAAATCACTGGTTGTCAACTAGGGATGCTTTTGCCTCACATGGGACATTTGCCTATGTCTGGAGACTTACTAGACTTACTGGGTTTACACACTGGGGGGTGCTACTGACATCCTAAAATGCACAGAATAGCCCCCTCTCCAACAAAAAGTTATCCAGCTCAAAATGTCAATAGTGATGAAGTTGAAAAAATCTATAAACCACCTCTCTTTCCTGGTTGTTCAGATCCCCATTGTTTTAGTCTTCTGAATATCATAGAATATTGAAAAGATTGAGTGAGATGGGAAAGAAAGAAAAAGGGAGGATCTGGATAAGGAAATTTTCATATGCTGGAGAAAACCATCTTTTCTCATTGGTTTTATCCTTAATTCAGTTCCTGCAATTCACCGACAAAAGCTTACATTTTTTTTTATTGATTAAGGTATTACATATGTGTCCTTATCCCCCAATTGCCCCCCCCCCGTCATGCCCTCATCCCCCCTGGTGTCTGTGTCCATTGGTTATGCCAAAAGCTTAAATTTAACAAACATTATTTTATACAGTACAACAGAAAAAGAGTCAAATATGGGAGAAAAAAAACTGGTGAACATCATTAACATACTACTAAGGGACAGAAGCATAAACAGACTAATTATTATGTAAATGCCTTTATTTGAACTAATACATTGCTATCAGATTACATAATTTTCAGAGTTAGAGTAACATTATAATCTTGGAAACTATAGCAAACAGCTTGACAAAGCAAGAGTACATAAGTCCTACATATATGATTTTTATGTTTTAGTGACCACATCTCCTTGTCTTAGGTGTAAAATTAGAAAATCTATTGTACACTTAGCATACCTGGCCTACTGCACCCTACCTAAGTTCTGAGCATACTCTCTCCTTGAAAGTGTCATATTCAACAGCATTTTAAATCTAAAGAGAGTTTGATGATACAGGTTTTAAAACAAATAAGCCAAAATTGAACCAAGTGTTTTAAGACAAAATATATGTCAACCGTTTACAGCTTGGTTATGAGGGAGAAGATGCAAATTTAAGGTACATCTTCCTCTACTTATGTTTTTTACTTACTTGAAGACCCCTTTTAAAAAAGTAGCAAAATCAGCAGTCTTATTTAATGTAATCAAAATATTCTTAAATGTACAAAAAAAGGATCATGTAGAAAGAATACTGTAAAAAGATACTAGTTTTAAGAATAAAAGAATATGAAAAGCTTCTATTACATTCTGCACAGCCAGTTACTTCCGCAAATTTTCAGTACTATCAAGATAAGCAAAGGCTACTCACAACCAAATACCCTCTGACCACAGTTCTTGATTAAGAACTAGCATACCGGATGGAAAGCAAAATTATTGTCTAATAATAGTCGTATCCAACCGTCTAAGGAAGTCTCAAGAGGTGGACATCCTAAGAGGGACAAAGACATATAGAGAGAAATAACATATAACGAGGGGAAATGTCAAAGGCAGCAATCTAGGAGAGTAAATGATTTGGCTATGAGCACGTTTCAGGTGTGCCGATCAATCCAACTAGGACTAGGGGAAAGAGGACTTTTTTCTCTGAAAACTCTTTCC